CCTAATTTATGGTCATGTGATGGGTTATATAAGCTGGCACTGGTCAGAGAAGCGGAAAGAGGGTGCCTGTGAGAAGTCAACCACCATCTGTAATACTGTCAAATGTGAAAATATGTTTTAATTTCAAAAAAAAAATAAGAAGAAGAAATGCATTTTGGAAATAGACTCCTTTTAAATTATGTATAAAATCCTTTTAGTTTCTAAAACTTGATATGAATTTCTAGTCTAACACTGGAATACACAGATGGTAACTAGCTTGATGTTCATCATCCTTTTCTATTCATCAACTTATTCTATTCACTTAGAGTAGGTTGGCCATGCCACAGACTGTTTTCTTCTCACACAGAAGATAGTGGTGACACCGATGGGTGCCAGGTGTCGGTGATTCCCTGATGCAGTGAGCTTCTCCCAATGGCCTGTTCACACCTCGCTCGGGATGTTAGTTAAAAATGCAGGGCCCTATTTCCTGGAAGAGATTCATCCTCACAATAAACTATGAAGATAAAAGGTAATTTACGTGTATAGACCTCCGAGGTTTTGGTTCAAAGACATCACAGGTGAGCCAGAAAGCATGGGGCCTGTGCTCAGGTCACCTCCCTTCCTGCAGGGCCATCCTGGGACTCTGATACCCCAGAAACGCACCATTAACAGATACAGAGAGCACTGGACAAAAAGCTCCCTGAAACAAGTCCTTAGAGGTAAAAATTGATTCCAGATTTCTTGCCCCCACTAGAAATTTCTTTGACATATCCTTTCAGGTAGCCTCTGGAAATGTCTATCCATTTGTTAGCCCTGGTGAAGGGAGCAGAAGCTAATGGAGTGGGAGAAAATGGTATCTATGACTTTGGACACAGTAAGACTCATGCCTCAGGTTTTATAACATTTGCACTGTCCTAATTTATATCGGTTAAAGAAAAACAGTTGGCTATTAAGCAGGGGTGGGAATAAAGAACCAAAACAAATGAAATCCTGCATTGAATAGAGTCATGATGCATTGTGAAATAAAAGGAAAATTTAGAACTCCCTGTAGCATGCTTTTGGATTGCCTGCAACAAATAACTGGCATGAGTACAAAAGAGAACTTTACAAACCACAGTGCTGATTCAATACTTTAAAAATGTTCACTCTGGCAAAAGGTAAAGTTGTCTATAAAGTAAGTACACGGACAATGTTTAGCATAAATCTTCGTCGGGAAGAAAATTCAAAAGATTTTGAAATGATTGTCTTTGTTAACCAAAGAAGTCTAAATTAAAGCACTACTGAAATATCACTGTCTATCAGGTAGAGAAGCAGGATATATAAATGGATTTTAATACCCTCTGCAGAGAAGGCAAGATGAATGTACCACGCAACTACCTCATCTTCTGGTCATGTTGTGCAGGAGGACAATCCTTTGGGGGAACTTACACAATAATATATTAACCAGAAAGGTTTAAATTCTTGGACACAGTGATACTATCTGGAGGAGGTTCTCTTTTCTTTAGCTTAACAGAAAATAAGTTGAAACTTGAGTAGCTACATAAAGATGCCCCTTTTCAGGCATTATGTGCAATGGAGAAAGAAGAGACACCACTAAACTAATAGTTGAGTCAACTGCGGTTTAACAACTGGTTGGAATATTACGTAACAAATAAAAGTGATAATGAGCAAGTTGAAATACATATACAGTTGCTGTGAGCATAAAGCAGATTATTAAACTACATATACTTATAAAACTATGTTCAAATGTGTGCTGTTGGATAGAAGTTGCAAGAGATGATGCAAAATGAAGATAGAAGAGGCAAGTCAGGAGAGGAAATTTTGGAAATTTTCCATTTATTTAACTACCTTTTAATACCATGCTTATAGTTCTTAAAAGGCAAAAACCTGATCTTAAACAGAAACACCCCTTCCACTATTCAATAGCAATAAAGATAGTTAAGTCAATGGTTGAAGAGAGTGTGGGCAGGAAAATACATCAGTAGAATTGTAACGCACACAAAGGATTACCCTTGGAAAGAGAATTTAATAAAAACAAAGCCAGGCTAAACACCATGAGAAGATTTTAATAATTCATCCTGAATTCTTTTCCAAATAACCTCACATTCACTGTTGTATGCAGCTCTGCCATCTAATTCACGTTGGCATTAAAACACCTAGGCATTAATGTTAATTAAGTCTGCCTTTTCATACTGAAAAACCACATTTTTCTCTTTAATATCAAACATATGTAGTATAATTTAATACTTCAAATATACTTTAGATTCTCTATTTTTACAAATTTCTGGTTTGCAAAATTGGAATTCTGATTCCAGTATAAATTAGCACAGATTCTACCTTCATGAAAAGCTAAGCACAGCTTTTGCTACGAGATCAAAGAGAATGTTAATCCCCCATTTCATTCTGTGTAACGGAAGAACAAAACCACGCCATTTTCAAACACTTTTAACCTTAAGTTCAGTATCTGTCATGAGGCATTTGTGCCTACCCCTCAAGAAACATCTCCAAAATGAACCGACTAAAGCTACATTTTGAATTATAGAAATGAAAAAAGCGAAGCACTACGAAATTCCAATGTTACTTCTGATTCTAACGCACCGACGGGTCTAGCAATGATGAGAGATTTGTGGAGCATCGATCTTTTTCTCCTCTGCAACATCAGTCAAATTCTCAAACGGCTCATGAAATATCTGAGAATAATCTGGACAACTTGGTCATGGTTCTAGGATTCAACGGCAGACGTAACTGCATCGACGCTCAGTAAATGCACGTGGAGGTTAAGAGAGTATGCTTGTAGTTTCAAAGACTGAAGTGTCCCCTTGGTTGTCACAGTGTATCTGGTCCTCAGATAACTATGATCCAGGGAAAGATAAGAACACAAATAATCAAGGTGATGACACTTTGCTGAGGCCACGTGACCTCCGTGCTGTTCCTGGGACGCGTCCCTTGAGCCTCCATGTTTGCATGGCTGCTCCCTGCGATGACCGAATGCTCTTCCTCTGAGACAGCTGCACACCTTCACACAGGTCTCTGATGAAGTCTCTCATTGGAAGATGCTACCTCTTCTTCCCATCCTGTCACCTGTTACCCCTCTGACTTCTGTTCTTTTTGTATTTCTTCGACTAACTACATTACATATTTACTTGTTTATTTTGTCATGTTTCCCCCCAACATAATACACACTGTATGAGAGGAGGGACTTTATTTCTTCAATGCTGCATCCCCAGCAACTAGAATAGGGCTGGCACATGATTGGCACTCAGTGCAGGTTTATTGACTGAATGAATGAATGGGAACAGAATGAATGAACATGACTGGATCATGAAGGAAAAATCACTTTTCTGCTAGTAAAAATTTATGAAATAATTTCATGTATTCAGTTTCAAGTGATTAGTTTCAATTAAGCTCTCGATAAGGTTGTAATAGAGCACAAATTGCACAGCAATTGAAATATAGGGGGAAATTCTCTATATTGTATCAATCTTGAAAATGTAATGCTCCTTTCAGAGAAATAAAATCTCGCCACATTTTACAAGCAAGAACATGCTGTGCAGGACTTGAAAACCAGAATTCAGGAATACGGAGTTGAAAGGGAAGTTCACACATGAGAACCTGCTGCCTTGAATAGTCTTTCTTCCCCTTTCTGTCTCTTCAACTTGACCCATCCGAACCTAGTTGAAACGTCACCTTGTCCATGGGGAGTTCCCAGTTCTAATCATTTCAAAGATCTATTTCCCCTATGAATCTTACTTTTTATCTGTAACTTTGCTAGGTCATTTATATTACCTAATAGTCTAGGTTTATTTGTGGGGTTTTTTTGTTATTTTTATTATGTTTTTGTTATCTACTTATGTTATTATTTTTGTTACTATTTTTTTGATATTTGTTGTTCATCATTTATGTCTCTAACACGAGCGTCACCACTTCATGATGCGACACAGCCAATAGCACCGACTACAGTCCTTTGCCTGGGTTAAGTACCGAGTAAATTTGAATAAACAATAACCACCATCCTCAAAATCCAACAGGCCTAGAACTAAGAAGAGATAATGACTGTTGACAGAAGACTCTCTGACTACTCAGCTTACAATGAGGACTAAATTCCGCCCTATTGTTTCCATCTGCATCTTCCTCGTAAGATGGAGAGGTGACAGGAGAGTAGCACGTAATTATAGAAAGGACTCGACCTGGGGTTCTGCACTCACCTTCTGTGTCCGATGTAGCCAAACGAAATCATACACCTACCTTGGCTGTCCCAGACAGAGCACAGTTTCCTAAGACAAAGCGCCCGGATAGGACCCGTTCATATTTCCCCTTACGTTTTCAAGAACAGCATATTGTGTGGGCTCCTGGACTATAATTTTGCCAGGAGTGGGAAGACAGTAGTAACTCCAAGGCAGCATCTAGCTCACAACAATTGGGCAATAGGGATCCAAACCGCTGATGAGTGCAGTGAAAAACGTTTTGTTTAGCTCGCTGTATCAGCTCCAACCAAGCAAGTTCCTATACTGAATAAAATCGATGCACGATTTTGTATCGAAAGTATAAATCTTATAATATAAATCCAAAGGTGATAAGATTCTAGGCCACAATGATATAAATGTGGAATTGTATTTAATTGAATAAATAAATCCAAACTGCTGATGAGTGCAGTGAAAAACGTTTTGTTTAGCTCGCTGTATCAGCTCCAACCAAGCAAGTTCCTATACTGAATAAAATCGATGCACGATTTTGTATCGAAAGTATAAATCTTATAATATAAATCCAAAGGTGATAAGATTCTAGGCCACAATGATATAAATGTGGAATTGTATTTAATTGTATAAACAGTCACTGATAATATAAGAACTAAATCCAAGAAATAGTGTGTGAGAATTATCTATTTAGAAATTATCTTATTCCAAATACATCTGAGTCCTTTGTCTCCAGTTATAATGTCACGTGGCCAAAATGCAAAGAAGAACCACCCAGCGAAATTCGGTAGAGCAAAGACACCGACGAGGGCGGGGACACTCACGTACCGATGCACGCCGCTGTTGCACATGATGATGTGGCAGGCCCCCAGCCGGCTGCACAGCTCCGAGGACACTGACAACAGCCCAACCCCGGAGGCACTGCACGCCGTGTTCACACAGGCAGCTGTGCGCTTGGATCTGATAAACGAGGCCACAAGGCGATAAAGCTCATCCAAAGCATTGAGAGGCCGCATGAGCTGCAAGAGCAAAGTGATGAACAAAACGTTCAGCCTATTTCGTAGAAAGAAATCCTTTTACAGGGAATACGATACCTGGTTGTTACAACTTTTAATGAATAGTCTAAAATATCTTCTTAGGGAATTAGAAACTACAGATATTTATATTATAATATCTTCTTAGGGAATTAGAAACTACAGATATTTATAATTACATGCACATTGCTCAAGAACAGTAGAAACATTAAACAAGGGAGCTCTTTAAATGGCAAAGCATCGATACGTGCGATCATTTCTTTTTACCTTATCTACATAGGCGGCCTTGGATGTGGAGTTTGGTGGTGAATTTGACTTGTCCAGGTAGAATGCCCTGGAAGAATCCAAAGAATAAATTATCATTTCTTCTTAGAAAAATTAAAATGCACGAAGACATACAAGTTTCACTGACTTCCTTTTTAAGACAAATGAATAAGCAAAAGTGTTGAATATGAGGATGGGTGAGATTGTAAAAAAAAAAAAGAAAAAGTCAGTTTTCCATTCAGAAAAAATGATTAAAGCTACATTACATATTGGGTGGCCTTAGATTATTTAATTTGTCTATGTCTCAGTTTCCTCTTTTGTAATTTGGGGATAATATTAGCTTCTACTTCACAAGGCTTCCAAAAAGATGGCATGAGTTAATGCAAACAAAATGCATTAGAGTGGATAAATGCTCATTAATATTTGCAATAATTAATATTATTACAAAAGTTGAAGAAATATATTTTCTTGTATTAAAGAATATTATACACTTTTTACTTATTGTGCAAGGGTAAGATTATAAAAAAAAACACTCAAAAAATAATTTTAAACAGACTAAGGAGCCGGATTTTTTCAGCCACTAATCTATGCTTAGATTGGAAGCTAAACCCTCTGAGGATACGCTGGCTTTTTTTTTGCCACCAGACTGTAATTGGTAACAACTATTTTAATACACTAAGTGGAATCTTAATGGTCTGCAATATTTAAATGCAATTCCCAAGGGTTATTGCTGAGTTTGCTTAGCTACTGGCTCAATACTAAACAGAAAGTACTGGGGAACGACCCGTGAAGGCAGGATACATTTTAGTTATATTTAACCTAGTATCTATTTTGGATGTAGTGAAATTATTTTCAAGATGCTAACATATAATGTTGATGTACCAAAATAAGTTCCATAATGTTAAGATGATTGTCAGACTAAATATTGAAATAAAACTGATTAGACTGCTGTTTCGGAGCACATTTGGGGACCTGAAAATATTAGCAGTTTGTTATTGAATGCACGGCAGTACGGGGTAAAACCAGTGCAGGAGGACTTTATGCCCAAGGACTTTTGAGTCCCACTAGAGACACACACACACACACACACACACACACACACACACACACACACACAATGCTATTCCCATATCTAGTAACAATGTTGTTCAGTTTTTGTCTTTTTAAGATAAAGTAGCATGGATTAATCAAATTTTACCCTTTAAATTAAGAAAGCTTAAACTATAAGTGTAACTTCCTAAATGAAAATTATGCTCATTCTTACTGAGAATGTTTATTCATCTCTCAAATACAAAGTTAAACAAAAAAATTTTAAAACAGGCCAGCATCCAAAGTTGGTTGTTACTCATTATATTTCACGTTGAACTCCTAGATTTCCATGTACCATGCTGGCACAGAGGCGGTGCCTCGAAGCTGGAACCCACAGAAATAGCTTGATCAGATGTCGCCATGCCTTTCATCAAGTGTGCTTGGTAGAAAAAGAGCACACAAGTCCACGGACAAATCGTTCCCTTAGCCTGAATCCCTCAGCTACCTACTGGCCCTGAGCATACAACGCTGCCTGGAGCGTGGGGACGACAGCAAACCCAGGCAGTGTCCAGCTCATGATGACTGGGTTACGGTGACACAAACCATTGCAAAGCAGACCGTCCATCAAGTGCCATGAAAATAGTTCAATTTTCCTGGTTGAGTCAGTATCTACTAAGAACACTGGATGGAGAGCAAAATCAAAGGAATTTGAGGTACTTAAAAATGTCCTAGATTTTCCCCAATATCAAAAAGAGATAAAAATCACCTAAAAGGACTGATGTCATGAGAAGAAGAAGCGAGTCTGAATTATGTGGGGTATGAAGACACGCAACAGGGCCGGAGCCCAGTCAGAATGAATAAGCAGCTTACGAAGAGGCTGGAGCAGGGCGGCCCTGTCGGGTCTTGCAGGCCTGACAAAGACTTACGTTTTAACTTGCCCCATGACCAGAGACAGGCTGTTTTATAAACTTTACTCCTGTGCATAAAAATTCATGTTCTCCTGAGAGATCCAAGTGCCTTTTCATTTCAGTTACACAGGTACACACACATTTGGGCTGATACTGTGAAAACCCATGTACACACCCACATGCTTGAACACATCTTAGCATTTTGCATTTTGCTTCTCCTTTTAAAGAAATGAAAATAGACACACGTGAGCCCTTTGTTCCTCGCCCTTCTCCACTCCCATTCGTGCTCCAAAGTCTCGCTCCTCAGGGTTAACCATTCCTGCTCCAAAGTCTCGCTCCTCAGGGTTAACACCGACCCGAGCTGGCATTCAAGACCTCCATGCTTTCCAAGGCTTGTAAGCAGCGTGTAGAAAATGATAGAGTCTTAATAAATATTTGTAAACAAATACTTGGATAAATGACTCTTTTTATTTCAAGATTTTCTAGATTTTTAATGGGTTACACTCCTTTGTTTATATTTTGAGCATCTAAAATATCCTTTGCCAGGCCGTTCCAACATTTTAATTTCTTCTGGGTCAAATTTACTTTCAATGGTCAATTTCGCTGGCTCTTCCTCAGCGTTAGGCTTCCTTGTGTGCTTTGGAATTTTGTTTTGCAAGTTTATTGGAAGTGGGAGAATTTTTAATTTAGTTTTATTTAGTTTTTTGATACAGTTCCATCTCCCATCTCTCATCATCTTTCTCTTACAAATGATTCTGTGCTCGTTCCGCACCCGGAACCACCCGTGTATAATCAGTTTCACATTGATGATTTGAGGATTATATTGTGCTGACATCTGGATGATCACCAGTCACATGGCTGAGCCCATGAATGATTTGGTTCAGTTCCTAGTGTACTGCCTGTGTTAGCTTCCTCTTGCCATCGTAAGCCCCTCCTAATACCTTAAATCCACAAAAGCTATAGTTTCAAGCAGCAGTGGGCAGCAGAGTTGTCACCCTTTGCTCAGAGGTGGAGGAGTTCTTCTCTGTGCCCTGTTTGCAAACTGTGAGGCTGGCTCTGGTTTTCCTCCTAGTGTGGAACGACTTTAATTTCTCATTGCCCTGAAGAGGTTGTACTGCGCCCTGCTGTCCACCCCCAGGGCCCAGCAGGCCAGTGGCCTCAGCACAGCTTACAACTCATCGCTCGCACTTCCTTCCAATTCATGGGGCACTGACATGACAAATTATGACCTCAGCTATGACTTTTACATTTTCTGTCTTCATATTTTATCTAGCACTGCTATATGCTTGGGTCGGAGGTGGTGTTTCAAAGCCAAGAGCCACACAGATACCTTGATCAGATGTCCTCATGCTTTCTTCAAATATGCTCAGTAGAAAAAGTAATGCAGTTAAACGGAGTACACAGGTCTATGGACAGAAAAGTTATTTAGACTCCCGGGGCCTCAAATACCTCATTTTTATAACGGATATTAGAATTATCTAATATACTGACAGCATAATGTTGAAGATTAATCACTGCATATGATGTGCTCACTACTGGGATAAGCAAATAAGATTCACTTAATAGACAGTAATAACTATTATTCAAGTACACACAGTAGAAGGCATCTCTTGGAGCATTTTTAGCCATCATGACAAATAAAAATAAGGTCCATGTTTTTTGCTTTCCTCTAAGGCCATCTAAAATATTTTATGATCCATGTGAAAAACAAAGATTAAAGTAGATATTTGGAATCTATATAATTCCACAAATCAGTGCACAAACAGAGGTTCGGGTCTAAAAAGAAAGTAACTATTTTTAGATTAAAGAAAAGAAGAATGTCATTCATATGGCTTAACCAGGTACATTGGCTTAGAAACCACAGCTCTTCCATACCTTGCAGCGTTTGGGAAGAAATAATATTCTGTAAGAGTCCAGGGACGGTTAGTACCTCCTAAGGAAAACCTCACTACTGCAACCTGCCACTGCAGCTGGCCACACTGAGCACTCGCCTCCTTTCTCAAAGAGATGTTCTTAAAAAAAAAATAATAAAGAAAAGTCGTCACCGTTTCAGCCAGTTCAGAGGGCGATCACGCTGATCTAATTCTGCTATGTTCACTTAAATGGACTTGGCAGAAATCTTCAACTTGTAGATGGGGCAAAATCTTTTTTTTTTTTTTTTTAACGTATTTGATGAAGACAGCCAGCAGAAATATAACTTTTATAGCTTTAAAATAAATAAATGCCCACATCACATGAAACCTTATTCTGGAACGAGCTCATCTTTTCTAAAGCTGCTATAGAGTAGACGTAAAATAGAAGAAGCATCTAAAGGTATAACTAATTGCACCCTTGAAAACACGGTTACAAGATGAAGGCCAACTACAAATTCAGAGTTGTGGAAGCGGTTAATATTCGTTAATCTACGATTATCGAAAGCAACGAATTATTATAAAATATATCTCCGTGCTGATGACGTCCAGAGAAAATAACCATGAAATATAGCCACCTTGTTAGTCTTATCACATTGACATAGCTGACAAGTATTTTAAACAATTATCTGTTAACATAAAAATCTGGACTTGAGGTTGCAAACCAATTTTAGGTACTCCCTATCAATAAAAAAAAAAAAAAGTTATTCCACCAAGTATTTTACTATCCTTAAGGTCTACAGGTATTTATAGAACTTCAGCACTTTTTAGAGCGTGGCAAAGTGTGGACAGGAAATAAATTTCTACTGTACTTCCCTTAATTGCAAGTCTTATAATGCGCCTTCATCAAAATTTATGAGAAAGTTAATGGTAAGACTGGATTTAGGCCAAAGCTGACCATGGTTTATTATGCTTCTGAGGCTGGTAAGAATGCAGTCCTGGTACTTTGTCTCACTGTAGCAAATCTTATTAAAACCATTTTGAAATGCTGCTGCTACTTTATATAAGCTGAACAATAAGTTTCCTCGTATGCTGTCATATATCAGGCTTCACTGTCACAATTTTTCAAATTAACTCTGCCATATAAAACGAATACATATAATAATATTTTATCATTTAGTATAGAACAAAATACTGGTGAAAAAGGTGGTAATGTCATAAGTTAAAATCGGTAGTGATAGAAATATATCAAAATTGAATAACTACAATGAAACTAAGCCTAG